GGTTTTTTACACACAAATTTATTTTGGACCACTAGATTCACATACAAAAAAGTTACTTCTAGTTAAAAGAAACATTTCGGAAAAAAAAAATCATTTCAATAAAAACAATCCTAAGTGATTACCGTGACATTTGGAATAAAGTGTTTTCGGGTAAAAGGTAACTAAAGACCCCCTGAATCCCTGAAAAAATTGTGTCAGTCCATGCGCCTAGCCTGTATGTTTTGCCTAGCATCGGTAGTAAACTTGATGAGAACAGTAGGTGGGTAGTACTTAATGGCTGACTAAACTGACTTCTGTAAATTTGACAATATTAGACCAAAATCCCGTGTTTGAAGTTAGTTGTCAGCTCCACCTTAAACAGGTTTTTCCAGAAATGATGCCAGACTTCAGTTTGCTATCGATAATTTTGTAAATATTGAGTCCACAAATTGTTGTTTCTAGGTGTCTAGGTTATGTGATCTGGAGCACCAATTAAAAACAATAATATAAACATTCTAATCTCCACCAGCTCATCCTGTTTTGTCGATGCATTCTTATTGCAGTAGGTATCTACAGAGACGAAAATATACCAATATTTATGACTTTAGGCACCTGCTTCACCACCTTGATATAAGTTGATATAACCTACCCGATAAACGTATATGACTGATTGTTCATACAAATTACGTTCTTAATCTTAATGCAAATTTATCTGGTAATAGCTGTACACGCGACTTCGTCCGCGTGAAAAAGGTAACTTAAGTTACTCCATAGAATATATCAGAGATTAACCCGAACAAACAAACAGATTGACAGACAAAAATTATAAAACGTGTTATTTTGCTATAATCATCGCATGTATATTTATATGCATGTAGTAAACAGCAGTTATTTCAATCTTACAAACAGACGTACACACATAAGGCAACGCCCGTTTCCCATGGGTAGGCAGAGACTATGGAACGTCAATAGGGTAGATGACAAATTTTTATTTTAATGTCCTCTGGTAGGTTATTTTAAAACATTACACACGTATTTTTTTTTTTTAACAAAAACTAATTCTTTCGGCGATATATTGATTTGAAATGTCGCGTGACGTCACTTCTCTGTAGGTGCATTTTATACGTAGAAATGAAGTTTTAACTCCCACTCCTAAACTTTGTTTCGTTATATCTAAGTATCATTTTACAACACATCAAAAAAAAAATGTGTCTAAAATTTTTGCATTACCTAACTGACGGACTAATTAGATTTTTAATTTTCATACCCTGTCATCATCCCTATTGCTACGATTCGACACCAATTTTATTTATAAGTGTATAGATAAAGGCACCTATTCAAACTAAGTATTTCACTTATTGTGAATCAGGCACTTGGTGAAATAAATTGACTAAAAACTTCGCTGAGGTTCTTTGAAAATAAGTTAGGTAGGTACTTAAATTTCTTTTACGAGAAAGTTATTCGAATGTTCCGCAGGTTATGTTTCTGATAATTACATAGTAAGTTCAATTACTAATTTGAATTTGATACTCACTTGAATTTTAACATGTCGAAAATTTCGTGTTTAGTAGTTTACCCAGGAGGTTTGTTGTTCCATTGTCTTACATGGACTAACACTTTTATTTTTGTCTTCTGGAATTAAACTGTCAAACACCAAGCGGTCACCGGTGACCGCAACCTATTGTTCTATAATTGTGTCTACAAAACCGGTACTCGACGAGTTAATGACATTAGAATAACATTAGCAATCAACATTTTAAATTATTATAATCATGAGTTTTCACACAACATTGTCAATAAAGGAAACTGATCTCTCTCTTGTTATGTCAATGCAGTATTCAGTCGTTGTATTATGAAAATACAACGGATGGACAGCGCCAGGGACAAGTGTTCGCCGCTCCAACGTCATTCAATAAACATGCAATCTGAGCTCGATAACTTCATTATGTTTCCTTTACCAGTAGTCGGTTTTGATACCTACGAATACGCAGAGTACGATGTATTGTTCGTGCAGTTTAGCATCTTGTTACAATTTAAATGAAAACACACAACAGATAAAACGCACTTGTGTGTAAAGTATATAACTAGTTAATATAAAATGTAAAATGCTGTGGTCCAGATTTGAACAGGGACATGATAAAACGTAAAACAAGCAATAGAAGGAAAAGCTGTTTGCCAACCTCCTCCATTTCAGTCTCGCGACCGCGACCTGTCCGGACTCCGGACCTACCCGCCCACGTGTAACTTCGCAAAACCTGCTCAGGACTGCTAATTTTATTTTGCACTTGCAAACTCCACAAACTTGTTTCATAATGCTCCCGTCCTTGCGTCATCATCACTGCATCGAAAGATGATTGTGTAAAACTCATCTAAATATTTTTACTTTATGAATTAATCCCTAAAGGAGTTGGCAGCGTGCTACTATGTGTGTAGTTAATCTCATTATGAGCGTAATGATAATAATTCCGGTTCTAATTCACATTTTCTGCTCTAATGTGGTTACACCAAAATTTGTCAACTTTAATACGGTATTTGACAATTTTTGGAAATCGTTTTAAATGGTTGTTTTAGTATATAATATACGTACAAAATTAATCTTACTGCAAAATTTACAGTATTTAGGATAAACATCGAAGTTACAATTTAAATTGTAAAAAGCGCGGCAGAAACGATTTCATTGTAATGGCTCGAGTCACGTGACGCGTGTGACGTCACACGCTAGTACAACAATCCATCTTGCTTGAATATTCAAAGGTATTGCTTGTTATTAAATCATATTTCAGTATTTATTAGAAATTATGTCTTATAAATGGTGTGTAGTGCCACAATGTACAAATACATCAATAAAAACACCGGAAAAAGTATTTTTATCTGTTCCTACGAATCCCAAAAAACGTAAATTGTGGTTACGGTTGGCGCGAAGAGAGCCAAACAGTGTCTCGATGCGTACAAATATTTTTATGTGTGAAGATCACTTTAATGTAAGTAGCACTTAACTTTATACTTAATAGATAGTACCTATCTATTTTCTAATGTTATTTTTGTTTCCTGAGCTACTCATTAGTCTTGTCAAACTTAGTCTAAATAACTTTTTACAACATGAATACTTCACTTGTTTACTTTATTTATTAATGGATATCAATGTGAATTTCAGTTGGAAACAGCCATAAAGAACTACATGATGTACAAAATGGGCTTCAATCAGAAGATGCTTTTGGCAGATGAAGCTGTGCCAACAAAATTCGATTGTCAAGAGGATCGCAAAAGACGGTTGTCTGGTGGACCTTCTCGAGACCTGCCCATAAAGAGACAAAAAAATGATATCGTCACAGAATGCTTACAAAGTTTAAGTGCCACTAAAACCCATGCCGAAATGCTTCAAGAAGACAATTATGTGCCACAAAACGTTATTGAGCCTGAAGGTATGGTACAACTAAATTTTATTTTCCATTACAAATTGAATCAGTAAGATTGTATAATAAATGTTGGATGTTTGTATTTTCAGTATTACCAAGGACTGCAGATAAAGGAATGTGTACAGATCCTATAATTGCTGTAGAAAAGTCTGTCCAAGTGTCAATGAAATCAAATGTGCATTATAGGAGCAAAGCTATACAAACTAGAAACAAAAATAAAAGTATTTCGACATCACCATTCAAAGTGTCCACAACATCGAGTTACACTTCACCTTTTAAATATGAACAATGCAGTCTTCAACGGTTACAGTCAGGAGTTGTAAAAGCAGCTAAAGAAGTTGTTGCCTTAGAACGTGATAAATCAGATAGTGAAATTTCAAGCATTAAGAGTGGTTATTCTTCACCTTTTGTACCTACATCATCAAAGATTACAGATTCTGATAGTTATACTACGGATACTAATTCCACTGTTCATCAACTGCAGTGCCTCAAAAATACCCTACATTTAATTAAAAAAAAACCATTAATGTATGTTGGTATTACTGAACATTGTTATTTTATTATTCAGTTAATGCACAAACACACAAATATAAAAGTAGAACACATTTTGCTATGCTTGAAAAAAATTAGACTAAATAGCACATTTTCTGAATTAGAGGATAATTTTGGAATGTCACTATCATATGCCAGTAAAATATTTTTAAATAACATACCCATATTGAGTAGCTTTTTGAGACCATTTATTGTAAATTTAAACAGTAACTTAACAAAGAGAAATCTTCCAATACCATTTAGACATAACTATCACAATGTCAGCTGCATTATTGATTGTCTTGAAATTGATATACAAAAACCATCTAAGGCTCTACACCAGGCTCTGACATGGTCAGAGTACAAGAAGGGAAATACTGTGAAGTATTTAATATCCTGCACTCCTAATGGATTAGTCAACTATGTTTCTCAAGGCTTTGGGGGCAGAACGAGTGATGTTGTAATAGTAGAAAACACTGACTTTCTAGATAAATTACAACCTGGAACTTGCATCTTAGCGGACAGAGGCTTCAAACACCTAGAACAAATACTTCATAGTAAAGGCATTAAACTATTACGGCCGCCTAGTGTAAGTGCTGGTGTAAAGTTATCCAAATCTGAAGTCCGACAAACTAAAATAATTGCAAGCCTGCGAATTCATGTGGAAAGAGTAATAAGGCGCTTGAGAGAATTCCACATGCTAAAACAACATACAGTGATAAACACCAACATACTTCGTATAATTGACCATATAATTATTATTGCATGTGCTTTAATAAATTTGCAAGACTCTCTTATTAAGTAATGTTTTGTATATTAATATTATATCTTCCTAGAAATACTAAGTAAAGAAAAAATTAAGAAAGAATATCTTACTAAATGTGGCCTTTTGGCTCTGTCTACCTCTGATAAGGATGTGATGTATGAATGTTATCTTTAAGAAGGAAAGTTGTTTGTTTGCATTGAATAGGCTCCAAAACAACTAACCACAGCTCAAAGTGCTTGCCAAGACAATTAATCAAACAAGTCAAATCACAATCAGTGCATAGGTATTATTATATATTATTATGTACATCACAGAAAACATTTTTATTTATTAATCTGTCACCCTAGTGCTACGGTACAAAACTGGATAAACATTATTTTTCCAAAAAGTAACCAGCTTTTGCAGTAAATTATGGGTATAAGCACTATCATAATGCACTAAAAGAATATCCACCTTTTGGTTCTCTTCAAATTTGCTATCTGCAACACAGAAATAGCATTTTTTCATGCTAGTTGCATGCATTTGTAATTGCACCTGTGCATTAAATTTTTCTGTAATTACTCCATTTTTTATATAGTTCTCTTTGGTTTTAGCCTGAGTAGGGCATTTTATTTCAATAACAGCATCCTTTGTTAGGCCATCAGGAGATGCTGCAATCATGGGACTCTCATTACATACGTAAAGTCCACATATACTTATTTTTTTGTTCAATATGGAAGCAACTTTCTTTCGGACTGCCTTTTCTAAAGTTCTTCCTCTTTTCATTGCTAGCGTATCTGGTATTTTTGCACCCATCACAGTAGCAATCAATGACCCTTCTGGTGTCCGGCAAACACTCACTTGATATGCTTTTGAAGCTGTGATACGGCCATAACGCATCTCATACCACAAACTGCTTTTATCTTGATTTCTCGTTGCTTCTTCTATGGCACTTATTTCAGCCTCTGTGATATTTGTCTTCATCACTTCAACAAATTTATCAACATCAGCACTAGTTTCCTCTGATTGATTCATCAAAAAACAGTGTAATGAATACTGCATGACATCTTTATGTTTAAAATCATTTTGATATTTAAGTAATTCACATTTGGTTATATTTCTAGATTTGGCCACAGAAATGAATTCATTATATAGTTCAGATGAACTTGGTCTATGAGGCACTGCTTTCTCACACATCTGCTCAACAGTGATATATTTCATAGTGGTCCCTACTCGCGATAGAATAGGTTTTTTCCAGTAGCATTCTACTGAAGTACATGCAGGTTCCTCAGTGCGACGATGGACCCACATCAGGAAAGCAACTGAATGCTTGCATCCCCCAGCTGAAGCAGCACAGTCAAGGCACTGGCAGCTAATGACTTCACTATCTTCTTCATTGATAATCATTGTTACATTATATGCCTTTGACCGAACTTTATGCTCTGGGCATATTTTGCATTTCATTGTGCAAACTCCTTGCTCCCGTTTGATTTGCACATAGCCAATGGCGTCGTCACCATAAGATTCCCTTGCAGACCTGTAAACAAAAGCAAAAACCACATAAGAGATGTGACTCTAAGTTCCTAACCTAAAAATTAAGGCTTATTAAAATCAATTAATACGGGAATAATATTATATAACGACATAAAGGTATTATAATGCAACAATAGCATTTATTATATATGAAAACAAATGATTAAAATATGCCGCGTGAATTTTTTTCTACAACATATAACATATAAGTTTACAAGGGTAAATAATATGTAAATAGATTCCACTTTGGTACTTACACTGCTGTTTTCACATTTTTTAGTTCAGATGAATAATAATCAGCGTTATTCTTAAAAAAAAGTGCAACCATTAAAGCGTCTATCCTGGGTAAGTTGCTGCTATCGGCTTGCACAAAATTTGCGTCCATTTTTAGTATGGTAAACTAATATTAATAACACTAGTTATAAACAATGTCCGTAGTAGCAAGTAGTAACAAGTAATTCTTCGAAAATAGTTTACAAATAGAAATTACAGCCAAAACACAGTAAACTCCAACGACAATCAATAGCGCAAAACACCTGTTCGCTGGCGTGTGACGTCACGAGTGTTACCACCAATCACAGAGCGTTTCGATTCACGTGAAATTATTTAAAAAAACTTCATTTTTATTTTGTGAAATATGTAAATAATATACATTATTTTGTTAAAATAAAGTAGAAGTGGTATTCTTTAGACTATTGTCTCGTAAAATATCTATATTTTGTAGAGTATTTTGAATGTTGTCAAACACCGTATTAAATGAAATAAGTACAAGTTGTTCTGATTACAAATTTTATTATGTCAGCAAGTAAAGTCATCGTTTTTCCCTAATCAATTTCAATTCAACAGTTAACAATACTAATTTAATATTATGTGCTAAGTTTCGCAGGCAGTATACTAAGCCCTATGTTAAATACCGTTAAAATAGATATTTACAGATTAAATGTTTATGCAATTATAAACAGCTAGTACTCACATTCTTGTTACTTACAATCGGTGCCAAGAAAGGGCATTCAACCTGTGATAGCAACCACAGCAAATGATGTTTATATGACACTAGTAGTGCATCTGTATAGTCTCCGTTATTTATTGTCATGCAAATTACTGTCGTCCGTCGACTACGCGGTTACACGGTTCCTCGGTTCCTCGGAGATGTCTGAGGATTATACTAAGTGTTCAAATAATATTGTATATAACTGTGATTTGATTACAATGTACTTTCTTTCTCTCTATTAGTATATTTTGGGTATTACATATTACATTGTATTGTATTGTAATCTTATTCCAAAAGTGAAATTTTATCAACTTACGGTTTAGCCCTTTTCTTCTTTCAGAAAGAAAAGTATAATAATAATCAATACTTATATACTTATACTTGATACTTACATCCTATACTTTTTACTTACTTTTCTTTATATAATAAAGCTGAAGAGTTTGTTTGAACGCGCTAATCTCTGGAATTAGCTGTTTAAATTGAGTAATTGTTTTTGCTATAAAACAACCCGTTACTGGAGTCGAGCACCGAGGGAATTTGGACTGGAGCTGATTTTACATTAAAAGTTATACGTAGGCACGTAGCTAGGTTTTTTCTTTCGAAATGTTTGTTATTAGCAGTAACTACTTATTTATAATAACGACAGTATCGGTTGAAATTCAACAAACTATATTGAACAAGCGAACGACGTTGTACAGCGGAAAATCATCATACGTCATAAGCCCATGATTGTCAAGCATTTAGTGACTCATTTTTATTGTCGCATACTTTACCGTTATGTGGCAGCATTAGTCCTGTCTGTTAGTCTGTATAAGCCGCCACGATTGGAGCCCCTTAAGAAATATCAATTCATTACAATGGATCACCATCAAACTACATCCGTTTAGAGGTCTATTGTTGAGACCTTTTATTACTAAACAATATGTTTTATAAATTGTCATAAATTCGAAAGAGCTTGAATGCATTGTGTTAGCTTTAGCTTTTATATGTAACTAGTGACCCGCCCCGGCTTCGCACGGGTGCAATATGCATGTATTATACATACAAACCTTCCTTAAGAATCACTCTATCTATTAAAAAAAACCGCATCAAAATCCGTTGCGTAGTTTTAAAGATCTAAGCATACATACGGACATACAGCGAAAGCGACTTTGTTTTATACTATGTATTGATATCTAAAAAAGTTTTTTCTCTTTCTTACTCCCTTAATCCATTTCTTATAATTAAAAAATCTCATCATTATTATTTATTTTCCATAATAATATAATTACATGTTCATACTAAGCGGCATATTTTATTTCAATTTATTATATATTGTGACTTTATTCAACCGCAGGGTTGTGGCAAATAAAATGACACCAGTAGACAAGGTCAACTTTGCTTACTGAAGTAGAAAGATATATAACTCGGGTGTAGCAATATATTTTATTAACCTCGCAAGAAGTAATACATTTTGAAGTCACAACTATAATGGTAAAATAATTATTATATTAATAATTATTATATCAATATTTATTCAACCTAATGTAGACTACCTCATTGGCCGAGTGATCGCAAGTGCCTCTGCCGGGTAAGGGGTCTCGGGTTCGATTTTCCGGTCGGGCAAATTATAACTGGGTTTTTTTTAAGAAAAACTCAGTAGTAGCACGGAATCTGGAAATGTGCCCGGTATATGGCAATAGGCTCACCCCCTGTTACATGGGACTCATAACATAAATAGTGAAAACTGGGTGTTACTTTGTACAGTGGCTACAGTGGCATTAAGTGCCATAATGTGCACGTCTGCCTACCCGTTCGGGGATAAATGGCGTAATGTTACGAACCTAATGTAATGTGTAATAATGTTTTAACGAGATTGCTAGTGCAACATTGTTATTAGAAAATTAATTGATAATATTTCACCAATTGTTTTTTAATATTAACAAGACGTGTAGCCACGTATATTTATATTACTATAGTACCTACATGTTTTTATTTTAAGGGAATGCAAACAGGTTTACGCTAGCAAACGTTCTTGCGGGTAAAGTAAATAAGTAGAATTCTTGTTCTTACTTCAGTTGCTAAAAAATTATCATTAACAGATTGAATTAATATTGTATACTGACTTGGCCAAATTAACGGTAATTTTGCTTAATTTATGTATGTGCATGAAGTACTTAATCCTAGTGACATTGTGTTAGATAGGCAGCCCTAGCCATATGCAACATAATATGTCTTTGATCATGAGCATTGAAGGGTAACTACTTATCTAAAAATGACCGCCAATCTTCCGTTACGAATACAATACTATAAATAATATTGCATTTGTTAATCTCCCTTCAGTCTCTCTGCGGATTTCACGGGTTCAACATTGTACCTATTTGTAGTCATGGCCGATAGTAAGGTATTAGTCAAATTGATACAAGTATCAGTGCATACCAAAATCAGATACGAAGTGATTATAAGGATAAATTATTCATAGATAGTTTATTGTCATAATTTATGTTCTATTTTCTTCTGTTCTAGGCGGCCGAAGTTGCTTCTGAGCCTGCTGTTGCCGAGACTGCCGAAGAAGCAAAGAGTGAAAGCGAAACTAAAGAAGAAAAGACACCAGAAACTCCTGTGACCGAACCGATTACTAATGGAAGCTCTACACCTGAGACTCCAAAGGATGAAAGCCCCGTAGTTGAAGAGCCGGTCGCGACTAGCCCTGCTGTTGACAGTCCAGAACCCCAACCTGAAACTCTACCTGAACAGTTACCTGTCAATGGACTGTCTTTAGAAGAACCTGTCAAGGAAATCGTGAAGGTTGAACAAAACGAGGAGAGCAAAGAAGCACCTGTGGCTGATACGACAGAGATTGTACCTGAAATTCCCGTCAAAAAAGAGGTTTGTGTTGAACAAATGCCTTTGATAGATTCCACGCCTCCACCACTTCCTGCGAATCCTCCTCCTTCTTCTGTGGCATCCTTTGCTGCCACCACAATGGCACCAGAATCGTCAGATGCTTCGCTAGCTAACACCGCTGATAACGCAATTCCACCACCAATTTCTGATCCGATCGCAATTGATAAACTAGATGAACTTTCCCCTTTGTCCGATAATGAATTAACCATCACCCCAACTGTTAGCAATGAATTCTCCTCTCCCCTTAAACAAGATAGCGAAGAAGTTTCGGTTTATATAGCTCCGATTGAATCTGAAACTAATCCTATCCCTGAAGAAGATACTTCTAAAGTAGAAACTGTGAAAGTTGAAAGCGCAGTCGTTGAAGTGTCTGTGATCAATAATGAAACAGAAATAGAAAGTAAAGAAACGTCTGGGCATGATATGGAGATACCAGCGCCTTCGTCTGACAACTTAGAATTACCCGAGGAAAAGAATGACATATCGAATGGGACTGAAGATTTACCTTCACCCCCATCTCCGATATGTGATGACATTGACGTTATAAATGAGATAAATGACGTCAACTTGGATAATACTCAAGTAACAATTGGAGAAACAACTGACATTGTAATCAATTCGAATCACATATCTGATACTGAGAATTCGACTCCTTCTGATAATGACATCGGTAGTAAATATTCTGAACAAAATGTTAAGGCCAAAGACTCGTTGGGTAATTTAATTGAAACTATAGAGTGTAATGGAAACATCGAGGACGAAAAGCTCACTTTGCAAAAGGAATCTTCTGAAATAATACCGCCGATAGATGCTAAAGAAATTAAGAACGTTGAATGCGTGAGGACGGCGACTACACCTGATGACTCGTTGCCTCCGTCTCTGTCAGAGGCGAACGAGTCGGCTCCGGCGGCGGGCGTTACTAGTAATGACGAGTCGGAGTCGTTCCCGCTGCCGCCCAGCGAGCTGTGCCGCTCTGAGTCCGAGCAGTCCCCGGCCGCGTCGCCCGAGTCGCCCGCCTCGCCCGCACCGGAGCCGGCTGCCGACACGCCCGCTCACACGCCACAGGTGAATACCGACCGGACAATCTTGTTTTGTAGTGGAATTAGTTCTGTAATGTAAGAAGCGTTTGAATCACCCTGTTAACAGATATCGTATTTAGATTCATGTGCATTATATACCAGCATGTGTGAACCGTTAATAACAAGGAGAAATTATATTCAGTGTGATCAATCTGACACAGTAATGAATACAGCCAGTGGCTGCGTTCCTGTCCTATCCCCTTCCTTTTAGCTTGAGATTGATATATAGATAAAATTAATATGCTAGCATGGTGACATAAACTAAGCTTTAGTGCTAACAATATGGCCGAGTTGGACATCACTTGTTTCACTCACTTCATCTTGTTCAATTTTATTTGAAGTAAGTGCTTAATAGTAAATTATTTACTATATTTACTTTTTAAATTCGTTTAATAGAATGAAAAAGAGTGTGTTTATAAGTAGACTGCAGAATAATCGGCCTTATATTTAGTAATAGATTAAGTACTACTAACATGCTTCTATATAATAAGTTTATTTTGCTAGGTAGAAGAATACCTTCTTCACTAGCTTTTAGAAGTTACTTTCTACTGCAGGAACACCATTCTAATGTTTTCCATTCATCACACCATAAAAAATATCTTCTTTGGGAGAATAATATTATATAAAAATACTATTGAAATTATATTAAACTATTAGAAAATGTTAATACATTTTCATTCATTTCCCACTAATGGGATAGTGAAGTTTTAGTATTAATTACTTATTTTCTCGTGTCTTTGGTCTCGTGGACGCTCTGCGACTTGGCGCCTTGGGAATTACACCTTGGTCAATTAAAGAACAATAGCAACAGAG